TAATTCTATTTGGTGCTAATAAAAATATTTTTGTTAGTTACTATAATGTCAGAAGACATACCTAAAGAAATGGACTTTGATTCATAGGACGAGGTTGAAGTATTCTTTTTGGATTATAGTACACGAAATAGATTTACAGTCAATAAATATAGAAAAAAAAGTTTTAAAACAAGAATAGTACAAAATAGAACTTTTTGCTGTGAATTCTACAGAACATACAAACCTAATAAAAGTTTGGTAGTAGCCCAAAATAGAACACAACATAATACAAGAACAAAAAAGCAAAACTGCTCTTGGCACTGTAATCTCTTACTAAGCCAAACCAATTTTAAGATCTGGGTTACAATACTGGTTAATAAACATAACCATATCCTTGTACCAGAAATCTATAAATTTGGACTTAAGTATTGATCCTTAAATGAAGAAGCTATAAAAGAAATTGAAATAATGTCAAAACATGGAAACTTATCAATTACATCACAAAAAAAGCTTTTTAGAGCTCGCTTTTTAGATTTAAATATTTATAATAACGACCTTGCTAATACTATTAGTAAAATAAAAAGAACGAATAATTTTAGTAAGGAAAATGACGCATCAACTCTACTTACTTCGTTAATAGAAAAAAAAGTAAATGATCCATATTGGGCTATTGAATTTGAATTAGATGAAGAAAATCGTTTGGTACGACTCTTCTGGATGTTACCAGAACAAATTAACTTTTAGTTAAAGTATTATGACGTAGTAATCAATAATAACACGGCACAAATCAACCAATATCGTATGCCTTTATCTCTTTTTATTATTGTTGACAACAATAATAAAACAAGACTCGTGAGACAGGCACTAGTCAGTAATTAAACACTAGAAACACATGCATGGATTCTTGAATGTGTTAATAAGGCTACACAAAAGCCACCTATTGTGATCTTTACAGATGCAGACCCTGCCTTAAATGCTGCTATCGCAGCTACATTCCCAACAACACATATAGCCTACTGCATATTTCACATAGGGCAAAATCTTCCTAAAAATTTAAAGTCAAAACTAGAAAATAAATAGGATGAATTCATGAAAAAGTTTTATGAGTATAGAAATAGCTTATGTGTACCTTTGTTTGAAAAATGGTAGAAAAATTTACTTAAAGATTATTCAGCAGCCAACGATTATCTACTTAGAGCTCTTTATCCTAACTATCAATCCTGGGTATGTGCTTATTTATATAAGGTTTTTACTGCCGGCATTTAAAGCACCTCTCATGTGGAAGGATACAACTGGATTATTAAAAGGGAACTAGTAGCAAATAGCACATTATGTAAACTCGCTAATCGTTTAGATCAACGGTTAAAAGATGAAACCCAATGGAAACAATTTTGTGAATACAAATTAATGACTACAATGGCAACAACATCTACAGCCGGACAAATGCTCTTTCCTGCAGTAGTCAAGGTAATAGATAAATATCTAACTGAGGCGATCAGTAACATGATTAAAACGGAAATGTGCCAGTGCCTTTTTTTTGGTGCGAGAAAGTTTGAGCCTATTAATAAAGATTTGGTTCGGGAAGTAATATATAAGATGTTAATAATCTTAGATATATTTATTAAATAATGCTAACAACAATAATACAAAATAGGAAACTGTTGAACAAATCCGGAACAGATTTATAGAAGATCAGTATGACACAAGAAATATAACACTCCAAGTTATGGTTGATGAGATCGAGAGCAAAGAGATAAAGGAAATTTGGAAAGTAACAGATCTGCATAATGAAAAAAAACACAACATTCACTTCGTGGTAGTTGTTAATTCAATTTCCTTCTTATGCTCATATTTAATAAGTATTAACAAAGGCATTATTTGCCGCCATTACTTTCATGTGATGATGCATTCAAGCATATCAGCTTTTCACATATCAATGATACCTATTCGATGGTATAAAGATCCACATCAAGATATAATACCTGAAGAAGATATAGTAGTATTTGATTATGAAAAAAGTGTTAGTGATTTAGATCTGGGTAATAGAGTTTTTCCAACACAAAAATCAGTTACAATGCCAGCTACTGTTTTTATTACAAAAAATGTCATTTATAAAAGAAATCGTTACAGGCATATTTGGAGACTTGCACGAGAAGCCACCCTACTTGCTGTAGATAATGATGATGATGAGATAGTTCAAATCCTAACAAACTATATTAATAAAAGAAGAATGAGAACAATGAACTATCTATAATTCGACAGACCACCACAGCTAATTAGAAACAAGACAGCACAACTAACCAATCATTTTTATCTGAGGAGGATATAGATGAAGATATCAATCAAAATACCTGTGGAACACTAACAGAAGATGAATATATATTTGAAAGATCAGCCGCCTCTACTTCTAAATGTGCTTTAAACTTCACCAACATTCGAAATCCTACTAAGGTTGTTGGTAAAAGAAGACCAAAGAAGCGTAGATATGTTAGTAGTATTAAAATAGAACAGCAAAAACGTGGAGGAAATTCAACTCAAGGATCATACAAGTGTCATATCTGTGGTGGAGTTGGTCATAATTCAGCATTTCATAGAAAAAAATAAGATAAAAAAGTAGTCAAAGTTATTCTAGCAAAAAAAAAGCGCATTGCTTTTATCTGTTATAAAAAAGAAGTATGATTTGGAAGTAACTACATATATGTAATAAAATTTGATATTGCATTTGAGTTATTAGGGTGTACGGATATCATTTCATGAACGTAAGCATGGTGGACAAACCCGAATTTGAATGATTGACATTGTGGCTTAGCCAATTTAATAAAAATTTTTTTGATTTTTTATACAGTTTAAAGTACTTTGTATTCTCGTGATTTTTCAAAACTTACTAATTAAGCTTATTTTAAAAAAAAAAAAGCTAGCGAAAGTTCTTTGTCTGCTCCGTCTTATATTAAAATTGATCCCAAATAATCCCACTAGTTAAAAAGTTTTATTAGAGACGAAGTTTATAAGAGATCTAGGATAGTTAAGCCCATAATTTGCGTATATGAAGGTATTTTAGTGTCAAAACCGAAGACAAATGATGCAAAACTAAGATCTAGTACTTTTTAAAGAACACCAAATCAAGTTCGAAATAGTGTTTATATAAAAAGCAGAGTAAAAAAGATAAGTTAACTCGTTTTTATATGCTTTAAATCTAAAGTTATATATATTATAAATGAACTTGTTATTTTATAAGTTAAATTTTAATTATTTTAACTATTACTATTTAAAATACAAATAGAAACGATTTAGCAAAGTATATTTATTTAATAAATTAAGTAGAAATAATTTACACGCATTTAAAAATAAGAAATGTCTAAGCAAATAAGGGAATGTAATATCATTAATATTTTATGTTCTAGTGGATAGAATTTGACGAAACTTATACCATTCGATTCGTCTCATAGAGACGAATCGAATGGTATAAGTTTCATCAAATTCTGACTTTTGGATCGTGAGATATCTTTGAGTTAGTAAATAAAGATTTTTTGAACATTATTGTAATTTTATAAAAATTAATTGGCCGGTTATCACGTGTACAGATATGACTAATTGTTTAATTTCATGTGATCGATCATCATTGTACTTTTATTAGACAGATCGGTCCTGAGTCACGATTTTCAGATCTGGAAGCTTGTGTAACATAGGTTGTCCACATGCTATGAACGTATAAATTAGGTATTTGTAATATATACTATCGCTATAGAATCTAACCGTATTACTAAAACATGTAAAATTATCTGTTACTCTTTAGTGTTATTGTGTTGTGGAAAATCAAATTACATGCCAATTAAATAACTTTTATATGATGTGACATATAGTGGTATCACACCCAAAAGTGATATATAATTTTATCACAGGAGTGCAATATATATTTAACTCCTAATTATTTAATATCTAAATAATAAATAAATAAAATGTGAGTTTATCAAGTAAGATCGTAATTGTGGTGATTCATTACAAATGCCTAAACAACTAGACGTTTTACATATAGAGCGCCTTACAATAAAGAAAACCATCAGATATTCAAAGCATTCTTTATCAAGAGTTGTATACTAATAGTATAAGACAGGAACTCTAAAATATTAGACAGCTGTAATTTTTACTAGTAAATAACAACCCCATTAGTGGTACAAGGTTTTACAACTCACAGTGGTCTGAATAACATCTTATGATTCGTAAACCATAAAATATTTAGGCCTTACCTCTCATACTGTGTTTAAAAAAAATATTTACAAAAGTGTTTATGAAAAGTGTTTGAAAAAAAAGTGTTTAGAAAAGGTGTTTATGAAAGAAAAAACGTAAATATAAATAATAATATAAACATTGATAAACAAATATGTAAATCAATAGATCTAGAATGTATGTAAACAAAGATCTATAAATAGAATATATGTAGATCTAATTTAAGCTGTATATTCGCTTATTATTTAGATTATCAAATATAAATAAATTTAGATTATCAAATATATAAATAAATTAATTTATCAAATATAAATAATTTAGATTAACAAATATAAATAAATTTTTTAAATATTAAATATATATTTGGTTGATTATATTAAATTTATCTGAATTTTATTTAAAAATTTAGATTATCAAATATAAATAAATTTAGATAAATAATTGGTTTATTTTATGATTTATTATTAAGAAATTTTATTAACAAAATGAAAAAAAAATAACAACCACATATAAATTATGTCAAGTTAAAAAAATTAAATGTTCTGAGGAAAGACCATGTCTACAAAGTGTTAAAAGAAATATAGAATATATACCAACAACAAATAGAAAACACGGACCTCCCACTAAAAAAGAGAAGGCTGAAATGTTGCTAAGGGGAACTATAAATTTTTTATTAAATAAAAATTAAATATAAAAAACAATTTTCCGGTTATTTTTTTTTTTATTTTTTTATAAATTAACACATCAAGAAATTAGCAAATTTATTTAAAATGTCCTTTTTAAAGAATTTTATTAACAAACTAAAAAACAAATAAGATAGCTTTGATAGTGAAAAACATATTGTGAGAAGTGGAACAAAGATTCTATATTTAAGAAAATTCTAAAGAAAATATTTAAAAAAGACGATAAAAAAGAAGTTATTGAAAATATTTTTTGGGGATGAGATGATGATATTTAATTGTCTTATTTAGCTAACAATATTAAAGACGAATCTCTAATATTATCAACTAAAAAAGAAAATCTAATATTTATTAAAGAAATTCAAACTAGTGAATATAAAATATTTGTTAGTTTTGAAAAATTTAAAGAA